ATATATATATATATATATATACTATTTTTTATGTTTTTATTTATTATTATATATATATATATTATTTTTACTTTTTATTATTGTTTTATTTATTTGTTTTATTTATATATTTTTTCTTCTTTTTCTTTATTTTTTATATTTTTTATATTTTTATTTATTTTATTTACTATTTTATTTTTGCTTTCTTTATCTTATCTTTTATTTAATTTTTTTTCTTCATTTTAATTAATTAATTTATTTATTTCTTACCTTTTTATCTAACATGGTTTCTTGACATTATTAAGGGCACACCTTTAAAACTATCTAAGGTAAGTAATTGAGATCGTATTTTTACTTTTTTATTTTAAATTACAATTTTTCTTAATTTAAGACAACTGGAAATTGCATAGTACGAAAGGACAGTTCAAGAGTGCTAACCCTTCTTTGACTGTAACCGACTCCCGAATCCGACACATCTTTGGAAAGACACATATCATGTAAGAAATAGGGTATCCGATCAACCCATTTGTTTTAAAATAAATGATTGGTGACGACTCCAATTCGTTTAATCCAAGTCGAAGCCCAAATTCGAAGCTCAACCGAAAGATGGTTTCGACAAACCTGATTGGATGAAAATCATTAGTTAACTGACGACTAATGCTTCCTATTGACGTGATAGGTTCACATGTTATGTCACGTCAGCAAGAAATAGTTTTAGAGTAAACTATAATCGTAATTAATTACATATACACTTATAAAAACATATTTAAAAGTAGCTTAAAAATAAAAATTTTATGACGTGCCATTACATGTAGGCTTGTCACGTAATAGGAAGCGTGACCGTTAGTCAACAAACGATTTTTATCCAATCATGAGACATTTTGTTCTAAAATAGAACATTAGGGTAAAATGCTCCAGAAAAAAGATAGGAGGCAAAGTGATCATTTTTGTAAATGTTAGGGGGTAATTTTGTTACTATGCCTTGATTTTAAAAATTAAACGTTAAGTTTAATTTTTTAAAAAATAATTGATTGACTAAAATGAAATAAAAATAATGATCGAAGTATTAGACGTGTAGTTTTTCCTTTTTTTTACTAACTTCTACACGTGTCACTCTTTTGGAAGTTAACCATCCCTATTTAAAGACCTTGACTAATTTATTTATTAAATGAAAGACCTTTGACTAATTCAAAATTTTGAAAAATTTATGCAATTTAAGGCAACCTTAGGGGGTCCTAAAATAAATATTTATTTGGATTATTTTACAAAATTATTTATTATTTTGTAGTGGATGCTTTTATCTCAACAATTATGTGGTTCTTTGAACTTGTATCACTGATTTTGTTATTATTATTTTAACAAAATCAGTAAAAAATTACTTAAAATATTAATGTTTTTTTAAATATTTTCTGTAAAATATCAAATAATAACAAAACCAATAGAAAAAATAACAAAACCGGTAGCATTTTACATGATATGTTAACAAAACCGGTAAAGCGCCCAATAATAATAAAATCGGTAGAAATATTAATATTTCTGATAAATTTTAACCGGTTTTATTAAAAATAATAATAATAAAACCTGTAACTCGTTTCTTTAACCTTATATTAAAACTTTCGTACGGGATACATGAGACTTTCCTGATGTGGCCATTTAAGTTTTAAATATTAAATTCTCAAAATAATTGGACTCAACTCATTGGTGCTAGATTTTTCATTATTTCTTTTTACAAAAAAGCTTCTTTTATTTTTTAAATTACTTTTTTGACCTTGACATATTAATGGTGTCACATGTAGGCAAACTTTAGCTTTATTTTGATTTAAGTCTATATATTTTAATAATTAACTTAAATATATTTTTTATGATTATTTGAATATATATATATATATATATATATATATATATATATATATTATTAATCCCTCAAGCATCAACTAAGTTTATAAGAGATCAAAAATATGTTTTAATAGTAATAAAATATTATTTTGGACTTTAAATAAAATAAGTGAAAATTTTAACTAATATTTTAGCTTAAGACTAATAACTTTATAAATAAATATTCTATCATTCCTTTGATAATTATTTACAAAATAAAATTTTATAAATATATTTTTATATAAAAATTATTTCGCTCCTGTAGACTACAGTGAGCATTAAGGATGGACCTAAATGGGGCAGGTGGAGCGGTCACCCATCCTAAAAATTTAAAATTATTATATTTTTATATTTTTAATGTATTTTCTATTAAAATTCGTTTTCTCTCCTAGAATTTTATAAAAAAGTTCATCTCTCTAATATAAAATCCTACGTCCATCCCGACGAGCATGATAAAATTATCGTTTATAATTCATACTATGATTGCACTTGTAATTTTAAAAAATAATTAATTTTTATATAATTATACACATAAATAATTATAATATGAAAATACAAATTAAGAGTTAATATTGATTACCTTTTGACTTTATATATGTGTCATTTTCTTTCCTATTTTAAGGTTGGACACTTCTTTAGAACTTTTACACATTCAGAGAAGTATTTATTTTTTATTTTTCTATAAAGTGTTTTTTTAATGAGTTTTAAAATAGAAATATTTTCTAAAATGTTAGTGTTTTGAAATATATTATTTTAAAATTCTAGATATTTTATTTAAATAAATAAGTATTTAAAAACAAAAATACTAAAATTTCACGAGTTCAACAAATATTATAAAAGAAAATTAATGATATTAAAAATAAAAAGGTTAAATTCCGGATTTAATATTTAAACTATCAATTTTGATCCGTTTTAGTACCTAAAGATTTGATTTTTTTCTTCAAAATCACATATAATGTTTAGTTTTCATTTCATTTTAATACACCGATGTTAAAAAATTTAAGCATTTAGACCTAAACTATTAGTTTTTGTCCGCTTTAGTAGCTAAACTTTTAATTTTTCAAAATTTAACGTTAAATTTTGAACGATATACTAAAATAAAAAAAAACATAAGTTTTTAACGGCTAGTACTAAAATGAAAAAAAATCTAAATTTTAGACATGATTTTGAAAAAAATAAAAGTTTAGGTATTAAAACGGATAAAACTAATATTTTATGAACAAAACGCGTAATTTACCCAAACAAAAATATAATTAAAATAATATTTTAGTTTGATTTGAATAAAAGATTTAAGTGTTTGGGGCTGCTTTGATCTTACGATGTTTGTTTTTTATTTTTCTCTTCAAGAAAATCATTTTCATTAATTAATTATTCTAATTATGGTCTTAGCATATTAGAATATAATCAATCACGGAATTGACTTTTTTACCCCTTAAATCATCACTATAAGCACACGCTTCTTAATTGAATTCGGTGTACAAATAAAGAAAGCCCAAATCTAGTTGTAAAAAAACAACATAAAAAGCAATATCTTAATTAAACTCTTAATGACACGTTACGATCAGGGAGGGTCAAAAAGTACGAACTCGACGGGTCTCGATTCGATTCGACCTTATAAAGTCATTTTTTTAAAATTTTGGGGTAGAGTGGGATGGGTTCTATGATAGATAAATTTTGAACGGGTCGGAATTGGATTTAAGGTGAAAAAAATGACCGAACTCGACCTGGTTTAAATTATGAATTTTCTTTATATTTACATAATATATTTTAAGAATTTTTATTTTTATATTTTTAAAATATATTATTTAATTATTAAATATAAAAAATATTATATGATATACTATTTTAGTAATTTAAATATAATAAATAATTATAAATATATTATTTTAAAATATTAATACATTTTAGTCGAATCAAATCAGAATCAATGTTTTAATCTAAAAATTGAGACAAGGTCGAGGCGGCCAAAAACCCGCCCCGCCCCGTCCCGTTCCCTTCCCTAGTTATGATTGATTAAATTCATTCGTAGAAAAAAAAATTCCTACTATATATACATATTATTGTCCATAAAAACAATCGATGTAAAACAAAGTTTTAACACTGACTGAATAATAGAAAATAAATAAAAATAAATCATGTAATCGTGTCGTGGTATTAATTATTGTCGAGTTTGGATCAGATAGAAAGTGTAAATTTTTCGAGTCTTCAAGTTGGATGAAAGATGTATAATTTTCGGATCAAATCGGGTGAACTGAAAATTTGATCCCACCCGACCCATGCGGATTCCTAATTCTATCTATATTTTTCTAAATACAAATTTATATATTTTAAATCTTTATTAAACTATTTTAGTAATAATTTATTTATCTTTATCCTTAACATTTATTTAAAGCGTGTGAACGTTAACACCACAAAATTATTAAATATAGAGATACATGTATGTATCAATCATGTTGGGTTTTCAATATATATATTGTTGGTTCTTTCGCTTTCATAACTTCTCGTTTCCCGACATATCGCGATAAATTGAAGAATCATCGACTTTTACGTGATATTATGCCAATGGCAGGTCCCGTAATATTTAGCGAAATCCAGGGTCAAACCTTCAAATAAAAAAGACTCGTTTTTCTTCGGTAGATCTGAGAATAGTAAAGATCGCTTTACAGGCGATTTTCCCCTACTCCTCACGCTCACCCTAACATCCATCACGCACCGTAAACTAAAATCACAAGAAAAATCAAAATTTAGGTCGACGGCTTGAAATGAAAAACTGAATATGATCTGTTACAGGGGATTATTTCTCGAAAGTAGAATAGCTGTCAGCTGGAGATTCCGCACCGATAGACTCGACAAGGTTTAGCCGGCTAAATAGGGGCTATCATTTAACTGTACTTATAAATAAGTTATTTTGTTTATCACAATAACTTATCCGTTTTGATAAGCTGAATTTGATAGATAAGACAACTTATCATCTTCTTTATCTGTCTCTCCTTTCCTATAAAAATCGCCATTTCTGCAAGGTTTTAAGGTTGGGTTTTATTTAGTTCAAAACAAAAAGGGGTGGGTTTATATAAAAAGGAATACAAATTGTTTTCTAGAGAGAGAGAAAGGGAATCTCTAGCTACTCTGGGTTTTTTTTCCTTAATTTTTTAAAAAAAAATCGTGAGTTTTTTTTTTTGAAAGTTTTAATCTTGGAAATCTGTTTGTTTTATACATGTCTGAAAATCGATCTCAGATGGTAAGTTTCATACAAATCTGTTTACTTTTGTTCATGATTTTTGTGTTTAAAAGAATCTGTTATTTTAAAAAATATGTACCTTTTCTCTTTCTTCTTTTTGCTTTTTCCATGTCTTTTTTTTTCTTTCTTTCTGCTTTGTTTTCCATTTGTTGCAAAATTGCATCTTGGATTTATACATGGTATATAGCTGTTGGTTTTTTTAATGATAAAAACCCTAATTTTCGGTTGGAAATGGTTGAACGATCTTTCTAGGTTTTATTTGGGGGTTTTATTGTGTTTTGAGCTGAATTTATCTTCATTTTCTGATTCATTTTGGCGTTTTTCTTGCAGATCTAGTGTTTGTTTCCAGAGATTTTGAATTTCGTCCAAGCGAAGTCGGCCGGATACGATGTCGTCTCTGAGTAGAGAGCTAGTGTTCTTGATCTTACAGTTTCTGGATGAAGAAAAGTTCAAAGAAACTGTTCACAAGTAAGATTTTTGATTCAGTGAAGTGCCGTTTGAGCTTGATTAGTAGTTGTTGTTAGCTGATGATTTCGGAATGTGCCGAGTTTTCGACTTATTAATGGACCATTATTTGCTTGAATTTTAAACAGGCTCGAGCAGGAATCTGGGTTTTTCTTTAACATGAAATATTTTGAGGATGAAGTTCATAATGGGAATTGGGATGAGGTTGAGAAGTATCTGTCTGGTTTCACCAAGGTCGATGATAATCGATATTCGATGAAAATCTTTTTCGAGATCAGGAAGCAGAAGTATCTTGAGGCATTGGATAAGTAAGCTTTTGCATTCTTTGATTCCGATTTTGTTCTATTAATCGTTGCAAGTTTGGGGCTTTGATTTCAAATGTTCGAATTCGATTTAGGCATGACCGGTCGAAGGCCGTGGAGATACTAGTGAAGGATTTGAAAGTTTTTGCTACGTTCAATGAGGAACTTTTTAAGGAAATCACTCAGCTCTTGACATTGGAGAATTTCAGGTATGCCGCTCGAGTTTCCAGGTTTGTGTCTTGATAAATAAATAAATGACAGCATGAGTACTGAAGAATGCATGACTTTCGTGACAGAGAGAACGAACAGTTGTCGAAGTATGGAGATACGAAATCCGCTAGAGCAATCATGTTAGTTGAACTCAAGAAGCTTATTGAGGCGAATCCTTTATTCCGAGACAAATTGCAGTTCCCTAACCTTAAAAACTCGAGGTTACGCACCCTCATTAACCAGAGGTAATCTTCTTACATCATTAGATTAGCATCACCAATGCATTAGCTGCTTTGTAGACATTGGGGTTGGGAGGGGGCGGGTTCTAGTTTCCGATGAACATTTTATTTATGCAATGAACTCGTACCAATATGGAATGACATTTAGGGTATATATTTTATTGCCTCGACTTTTTCGATGAAGTCAAAGCATACGGCATGGCATTCATCTTGAGTTCTTCCTAGCGTTGTTGTTTCAAATGAACCAGAGTTGTATTAGTTGTGGCCTTTGAGAGAAAACTGATTTCTCTTGTGATTGCAGCTTGAATTGGCAGCATCAGCTTTGTAAAAACCCGAGGTCAAACCCAGATATAAAAACTCTCTTTGTGGATCACTCATGTGGACAGCCAAATGGTGCCCGAGCACCATCACCTGGAAGCAATCCACTTCTTGGATCCTTACCTAAAGCTGGAGGTTTTCCTCCCCTAGGGGCCCATGGGGTGTGTCCAGCTCGATAGAACTATTCTAAATTCTCTTTCATTATCCTGTTCTTAATGTCCTCGGTTTATGTCTTCAGCCTTTTCAACCTACGCCTGCACAAGTTCCGGCACCCCTTGCAGGTTGGATGTCAAATCCTTCAGCTGTAACTCATCCAGCTGTTTCTGGTGGAGCAATCGGTCTTGGCCCTTCTTCAATACCAGGTAGTTGTTTCTTCCTCTTTATTTATCAATTTTTTTCTTCTGTGATCACTTCCTCTCTAGGTTTTGTTTTTGGCATAATGACGATATCGTTCCGTCTAGTTCTTTTTCGTTTTAATGGCATGTTTCATTATTGACTTATAGCCGCATTGAAGCATCCAAGGACTCCTCCAACAAACCCATCTGTAGACTACCCATCTGGGGACTCTGATCATGTTGCCAAAAGGACAAGGCCGATGGGGATATCTGATGAAGTACTGCAGTTTTATTTTAATTGACTTATTTGATATGTAATCCGTGTGTGATCGTGTTTCTTTCTGCCTAAGGTTATTTTACTGATCTTTGCCCGTTTTATGCAGGTAAATCTTCCTGTCAATGTGTTGCCGGTACCATTTCAGGGCCATGGTCACAGTCCGGCTTTCAGTGCACCCGATGATCTGCCGAGGGCTGTCGCAAGAGTTCTCAACCAGGGTTCATCTCCTATGAGCATGGATTTCCATCCTGTTCAACAGACTCTACTTCTAGGTATGGTATACTTATGCCTTGTTTTATCATAGTTGCTTGTGGTTTTCTGTTTTTGTCCAGCTGGTGATTCTATCTTCACATATTCCGAATTCGATGAATCAGTTGGTACCAATGTTGGAGACGTAGCATTGTGGGAAGTTGGCTCTCGGGAGCGGCTGGTTTCCAAAAACTTCAAAGTTTGGGATGTTAGTGCCTGTTCAATGACTCTTCAGGTTTGTGGCGTCGACTGTTTAGCATACTCATTAGCACCATGTTTATTCTGACAAGCTAAACGGAATTTATGTACATCCAGTCTGCTCTAGTCAAAGATCCTGCTGTCTCTGTAAACCGTGTAATTTGGAGCCCTGACGGTTCTTTATTTGGTGAGAATAAACCTATGCATATATTTGTAGTAATGAAGTGGCAACGGTGATTGACATGTCATACTTTTCCGAAAACAGGCGTTGCTTACTCGAGGCACATTGTGCAAATATATTCTTATCATGGTGGCGAGGAGGTTCGACAACATCTCGAGGTATATATTGAAGCTAGTTCCATTGGGTTGTGTGTGTGTTTTTTCCCTCTAATCCTCTTCCTGATTTTTGCCTGACTGAAATCATATTGAAAATTCCGATCTAGATTGATGCTCATATTGGTGGTGTAAATGATATTGCATTCTCTCATCCAAATAAGCAACTCTGTGTAATAACTTGCGGTGATGACAAGACAATTAAGGTTCGTTTTATCATTTTAGTTGGTTGGTTATTAGTTTACAAGAAAAAATTGCTCGTCCTCGCTAATTTCATGACTTGATTTAGGTGTGGGATGCTACTAATGGTACAAAGCAGTACACCTTCGAAGGCCACGAGGCTCCTGTTTATTCTGTCTGCCCGCACTATAAAGAGAACATTCAGGTGAGGATAATTCTTTATTGCTGCAGGTGTCGTGCACTCCTCACTGTTCTATGGCCATATGTTATTTGGACTCGGGTGTGGGTGTCAAATACGGATATGTATCTGACACGAGTATGGTCATATGTTTGTGTTTTTCCGTGTTTTTGGAGGATGCTTGGAGGCCATATCTCCATATCCTATCTGTGTGTTCCTGATGTGCTTACTTTCGACTTTTTTTTCCTCAGTTTATCTTTTCAACTGCTGTTGATGGAAAGATAAAGGCATGGTTGTATGATAATATGGGTTCACGGGTTGACTATGAAGCTCCTGGTCGTTGGTGCACAACCATGGCCTACAGTGCTGATGGTACAAGGTTAGTTTGCTTGCACTATATCTCGTATTCATGTTCTGTTAGTTGTCGAGAATTATCAGGATAGGGTTTTGCTTCAATTTTCGACTGACTTTTCTCAAATTGATGGTTGGTGTTGTAGGCTCTTTTCTTGTGGCACCAGTAAAGAGGGGGAGTCTTCTATCGTAGAATGGAATGAAAGTGAAGGGGCTGTGAAGCGAACCTATCAAGGGTTCCGCAAACGTTCTTTAGGTGTTGTGCAGTTTGACACAACCAAGAACAGATACTTGGCCGCTGGTGACGATTTCTCGATCAAATTCTGGGATATGGACAACGTTCAACCTTTGACCAGTTTTGATGCTGAAGGAGGACTTCCGGTAAGTCAATTATGTTCAATAAAGTTTCGTACCATTTCTAAGCTAGTAGCTGCTTACATTTTTCTTTCCTAATCGTTAGGCAAGCCCACGCATCCGCTTTAACAAGGATGGCTCTCTCTTGGCTGTTTCCACCAATGATAACGGGCTTAAGATTTTGGCAAATATAGATGGCATGCGATTGTTGCGCACTTTGGAGAATCTTTCTTATGATGCCTCGAGAACAGCCGAAGCCCCGAAGGTAGTATTATTATCTCATTTAATTCCTTTAGCACGTTGCTTTACTGGTTTTGCATGTTAATATAATCTTTGCTCATAATTGTTGTTTTCTTCAGCCTACGATAAATCCAATCTCTGCTGCAGCTGCTAGTAGTGCTGGGCTTGCAGAGAGAAGTGCCTCTGTGACTGCTATTGCCGCAATGGTCTGTTTGATAGTGTTTATTTTGTTGTTATGGTTATGTAATCGTCGTCTATTGGTTTAGTAGTGTAGCTCATATGCATGAATTTTATGGCTCGTGTGTTATGTCCTTTTCAGAACGGGGATGCTCGGAATATGGCGGATGTAAAACCCAGAATAACAGAAGAATCCAGTGATAAATCAAAGATTTGGAAGCTCACTGAAATCAACAAACCATCTCAGTGTCGATCCTTGAGGCTCCCCGAAAACTTGAGGGTGAACAAGGTATAAAAAAGTTCTCATACCTTTATGATTCATGGATTTTCTATTTGCCGTTAGGCTAACTTATCACATTTCACTGTGATTATTGCAGATATCGAGGTTGATCTTTACAAATTCAGGTAATGCTATTTTGGCATTGGCATCGAATGCTATTCACTTGCTGTGGAAGTGGCAGCGAAGTGATCGCAACTCGAATGGCAAGGTACAATCTTCTCATCATTTGGGAACTTCTTCGATAATAAAAGAATACCTGTAAACGACATGTTACGCAATATTATATTTGTTGCATCATTGTGTAGGCAACTGCGAGCGTATCCCCTCAGTTGTGGCAACCATCAAGTGGGATTCTTATGACCAATGACGTTGCTGATACAAATCCGGAAGAGGCTGTACCGTGCTTTGCTTTGTCGAAGAATGATTCTTATGTAATGTCGGCATCCGGAGGAAAGATTTCCTTGTTTAATATGATGACGTTTAAGGTAACTCATCGTTTATGGAATAACTATTCTTCTTCGATTTTTATGTCCGTCTGTTCTACCCTCCGTTTGTCGATGATTTTTATATATAAGCTTTAAGCATTGATGATTTTTGTGGATGCCTTGCAGACAATGGCAACTTTCATGCCACCGCCACCAGCGGCAACTTCGCTTGCATTCCACCCTCAGGACAATAATATTATCGCTATAGGCATGGACGATTCGACAATTCAGATATATAATGTCCGTGTGGATGAGGTATGATACATTTCGCGGAGAATCATACATGTAACTCGTATTTTGAAGACGTAGCACTCTTATATACAAGTTTAATCTTCCAGGTGAAGAGTAAACTTAAAGGCCACTCCAAACGGATAACTGGCCTCGCCTTTTCGCATGTACTGAATGTGCTCGTCTCATCCGGAGCCGATTCTCAGGTATTCCTTTTTCTACTTTTCTTTCTACGTACATGGTACGGTGAATAAGCTTCATCCGAGATGTAATCTACTTCATAGTGACTCGGCCATTGTCCAATGGTGCAAATAGTTTGGAAAGTATTTTAGCTTTTATAAATATTCCGACAATAAAAGAGCAAAGAATTTGTTGCTGCTTCTGGATTTCTTAGCTAATCAACCATTCAATCTCGGAAGATAAAAGCATTCTCATCGATGAAAACAAATTGCTTTCGGTTCATTGATCGTAGTACCGTTCTTTCTCTAGCTTTGCGTGTGGAACACCGACGGATGGGAAAAGCAGAAGAGTAGATTCTTGCAGGTTCCAGCAGGGAGAACACCAACAGCACTGTCGGACACTCGTGTACAATTCCATCAAGACCAGATACATTTTCTTGTCGTGCACGAGACTCAGCTTGCCATATTCGAAACAACGATGCTAGACTGCGTGAAGCAGGTAATGTTTTCTTCTTGTCTGATTCGTTACAAAACAACATTTGTTCTACTCCTAATGTTAACTTTATATTGTTTAGTGGGCCCCACGCGATTCTTCTGCTCCGATAACGCACGCGACGTTCTCTTGCGATAGCCAGCTAGTATATGCCAGCTTTTCGGATGCATCCGTTTGTGTGTTTAATGCTGCAAACCTCAGGTTGCGATGTCGTATAAATCCTACTGCATATCTTCCGGCTAGTGTCAGGTATTTCCCCGGATCTTCTCGACTTGGGTATCGATTTCATATGGCTAAGATCGTTTCTTGTATTTGCACATTATAGTTCTAACCATTTGAATTCAAACATGATATTTCCCTCTATGTTGCAGCTCCGGCATTCACCCGCTTGTAATCGCCGCACATCCGTCCGAGGCAAATGAATTCGCATTGGGACTATCGGATGGCGGGGTTCATGTATTTGAGCCTCTCGAATCCGAAAACAAATGGGGTGTGCCTCCACCGGTTGAAAACGGCTCAGCTAGCAGTATGGCAGCAACACCTTCGGTTGGAGCACCAGGATCAGAACAAGCCCAGAGATGATACCTAATTTAGGTATGCTTGTTACAACAGCAGGATAACCCCCCCCCCTTACGTTTGCTCGACCGACCGAAACGCTGCAGCGTCCGATCGGATTTTATTTAACCAATCTTTTATTTTTCCTTCTAAAATTTGCAGCTTGACAATCAAAGATATGTGAACTCTAAGAACAAACATCCCAAGATGTAGATTTTAACATATTTTGTATGCAAGGCAAATGGACCGAAGTTACCTTGATTCGACAAGTCGATATATGAAAGATCAATCATTTTCATAAACAAGACTATAAGCGAAATTGTTCGTGAATATAAAACGTGATCGAAAAACATCAGAAATTCTCAAAATTTATCATTAAAAACATATCATCCAAAAAATGCAGCATTTTCTTGTCACCACACTCAAGTAGGCAACTTTCCGGACAAGAACACAGCAAATTTGTTGATATCAGAGTACTTAAAATCAATCCCATTTTCCTTCAAGAACTCTTCGATCAATTTCTTATCACGTTCGGCCTCTCTACTCTCGCATTCAATCTCATAACTAACACCAAAATCGTAAACGGATTCATCGAGCTCCAATTTCAGCCCTTACCAATCGTAAACCCCTCGGACGCTCTTAAACCCTCCCAAGCAGATCAGCTCATTAACCCCAAATTCACCTCACCCTTTCCATGATCCGGGAATCGTTTCTCAACTCCAGCAGGCCGTTCGGGTCGGTTAAAAAGGAGCGGGCGAGTGATGGGTCGATGGGTTTTTCATGTTCTTCGACTCGGCTAACGCCTTGGGAGAGTTTGGGCTTGGATTTGAGGGAGATGACGGAATGGGAGTCGAGGTTGTAGAAGCGGAGGCGGAGGGCGGAGTTGGCGGCGGCGAGGGCGGAGGTTGGGGTGTCGTCGAAGACGTTTTCTTGAACGAGAGTCTCGGCTAGGAACTGGGAGAGGAGATCGGAGAGCCTCTGGTGGGATTCGGGATAACTCAAGCTTCTGCTAAAACCAGCAACCCAAGCCCCGGTGTGATCCCGGATAACTCCTCCACTTGCTGCCTCCATAGTCTCAACCTCATCATTAGTGGATAAGATGTTAACAATCAACCGTATATATTACATAAACGATACCATTACTTTATGGGTAAAATATATTCTTGATTATAAAAGTTATTTTATTGAGTATTTTACTATTAAAAGTTATAATATAAATAAAATATTAATTCATAAAATATATTTTAAATGATTGGAGGATCAAATTTTAAAATATTTCAATCGACATGTTAATACTTAACTCAGACGATTGTTAATTTTGTGATCGAAAGGGACAAATTTAGAACATATTAATATAGTTGGGTGACTATTTTATAATTTTTAATATTCGAAAATCTTAATAGAATAATATTCTATAATCTGAGAAATATTTTGTAATTTTTCTGTTTCATCAGGTTTTGTAGCCTCCGGTTTCGTACATGAAGATGTCTGATTTGGTAAGGCAATTATTAATTTTTTTGTTGGTAGTTGTCTAAATTGACCGTTAACAATGATGACTGAAATATAATAGTCGTTCGAGATTTTGAAATCATATTTTATCATATCACAGTCACTAAATTAACGAATTCGTTAATTCCTAATGATGACATGGATGGTTTCTCAAATTTGCTACGAAGGAAATACTGTTTTTGACCGTTGGTCGAGATAGAAATAATCAGTTTCCAATTGCATGAGCAGTTGTTGAAGAGGACGGAAAAGAATCATGGATATTGTTTTTGCATAAATTAATGGTTGACTTAGAGCATCCTAAAGGTGAAGGACTTACACTAATATTAATCAATGACGGAAAATGTGACCAAAAAACAACATTGAGTTATTTTTTTTTAGTTAGAGGGTCACATGGAGAGAAAAAATAGTATGAGGGCCACATTGAGTTTTTTAAAATACAGAGGCTTCACGTAACATTTTAAAATGATCATTAAATTTATTAACTATTATAAGATATCATCACCACGTTATAAATGATTATTAAATTATTAAATTACTACAAGATGATCATTATTTTTATCAAATTGTTACAAAATGGTCATTGTATTTACCAAACTCTAATTATAAAAACATCATGATGATCACTTTAAAAGTGCAATGACTAAAAAGATCATTTTAGAATAACCTAGGGACCTTTAGTGTACTCCATCCAAAACTTTTTACATAAAGACAAAATCTGGTAATTATTTATTATTTTTAATTGTCTAAAGATGATGGCAGTCTTGACCTTGATAAAGTCATTTTATTTGGTAATTAGTGCTTCATTTAATCATTTTAATTGTGGAATTAAATTTGTCCTTATCTTATATTATAATTTCGATATTTCCAATATTTTAATTAATTTTGAACGATGGAGAATATTTCCCAAAAATTATTGTTAATCGAAATGACAAAAGTAACCTCACCTTTTATATTTCACATATATTTATTGACAAATTAAGAAAATTATTTTTCCAAAATATATATTTTGGTAGATAAATCTATCCAACAATATCCCCTAATTGTAAGTTAGGTGCACCTGTCTTGTAGGAATACTCGGGAACGGAAATAAGAATTTATTATAGTAGATGTTAAAATATTTTTTATTTTTTATAAATACAATTTTTTAATTGAGAGCGCGGATAATTTTTCTTAATTTATTTTTCAAATATATATATAATATTAATTAATATTTTAAAAAATAATTGACGGAGGCTAAGACTCCCCTTAACTCGTCATGTTCCGCCTCCATGAATACGTGCATTCCCTTCAAGAAAACCTTTATTTAAAATATATATTAAAAATAATATTTGTTTTAACCACTGAAATCACTCGATAATTTTATAAAATATCATATAATTATATTCATAATTACTCTGTAATAATCGACGTCACGCTATCTCACTTTGATATATTCGTAATTATTTTATATCGATTAAAACAAGTTATTCTTTGAATTCAAATCTCATCTAATTAATTTTATAAAAAAGTTAAATATTAAACTAAACCTATATCTAACTAGATAAAAAAATTAAGGGTAAAGAACACAAATTGTCCCTCAATTATAGGATATTACTTCATTAAGTCCTTTAACTATTAAAAGTTATAAAATGATCATTCGACTATAGAGTGTTGCTTTGCTAAGTCCATTGACTATTAAAAGTTACAAAATGATCACCTGACTATTCGTTATGTTCCAAACTCGTCCTTTTTTGTTAAAAACCGCGCGATATTCTAAGCTGAACATTAACTTGTTGATTGTGACATGATAAAATTCATTCTTACAATCTCAAATGACTATCATATCTCAGTCATCATGTTAATATCCAACTTAAACAACCGTCAATTTTTTAAAATAAAAGGACAAACCTGGAACATAATGAATAGTCGCTCAACTATTTAACGACCGAATGACAAAAAATCCAATGTATTAAATTCAGTGAGAAAATTGAAAAGATTTAAATATATTGAGTGAAATAAAATAGAGTAAAATTTAGTTACCAAATTTATAATTTACCCTTTTGAATGGGATTATTGGCGCGTGGGGTAAGATATTCAGAACTGCGAAGCTGGCGAAGATTTTTATAACGTTAACGCGATCTGAGTTAAAAGTAGTTCTAATTCTAATATTAGTCCCTTTTCGTTTGGTATATTAAAATATAATATTTATTTCTATTTTAATTCTATATTATTTAATTTTTTATAGTTTTTTTATTAAGTCGAGAAATATTACAATATCAAGACAAATTCGAATAAGAAACAAAAAACCTTGACCTGTCTAACATTAAGAGTTAACTTCACAATAGGTTCCTAAACTATGACATTCATTCTACATTGATCCGTAAACTTTAGAACATTCTAAATCACTCCCCAAATTATTTAATTTAAATTAATCCCTAAATTTTAAAAACATTCTATACCAATCCCTATGGAGGATAAATATTAAGCAAAGAAAGCTTAGAGCAAAATTCGCCATGGATAATGCTTTATATAATGTTAAGCAAAGAAGGTTAAATTTTTATCAATGGAGTATCAAATTAGAATGAAAGCTAATCGTTAGATATGTTTTTAAAAAAATTAAAAGTTTAAATATTAAAATAATTAAAATTAATAATTTAAGTATTAAATGTGTAGTGTACTTTTTTAGAATGGGATGATTGGCGCGTGTGGTAAGATTCTCAGAGCTGCGAAGTTGGCGGTGACTTTTATAACGTTAACACGATATGAGAAAATAATAGGTCTAATTTTGATTCTAGTCCCTTTACGTTTACTCTACTAAACATCTAATGTTATTTTTTTTCTATTTTAATTTTATATAATTCACTATTTTTTTGTTAAAATTTATTAGTAGACCCAAAATTATTTTAATCTTAATTGTAAAATTAAATAGTTAAAATGAAAGATAAATGTAGGTAAAGTATATGTTTAGTATCTAAATTATTAATTTTGATTTTTTTAATATTTAACTTTTTTAAATTCATATTTAAAATTTAATTTTTGTATTATTTTGATATTATACTTTTAAAATTTTAATTTTATAATTCAATGTTTAAATTTTACTTAATTTTTTAAAAAATTAATGTTAAATTTAAAAAAAATAAAAATTTAAATAAAATTTAAATATAAAATGAAAGTATTGAAGTGAGTGAAGTGACGAGGTATTAAAGTAAAATGAAATAAAAATAAAATAAAGTTAAACGATGTATAATTAAAGAAAAAATAAAATGACGAGATATTAAAATGAAATAAAAATTAAACGATAAATATAATTATTAAAAATTTAAGCATAATTTTGATTTGAAAAAGAATAAAAGTTTAAGTATGATTTTAAAAAAATTAAAAGTTTCGATACTAAAATAGACGTACTAAAATAGACGTAGTTCACCATAATTGTTAAGCAGAGAAGGCTCAGAGCAGTATTGGACATGGATAATGCTTTATGTAATATGAAGCAACAAATTCAACCAAATATATTCAGACTTCAGTACATAAATATTTACACCTTTGTCTGCTAATTATTCACAACCTTATTTACCTTCACCTTAGCGCAAAGCTGTGTCCTAATTTACTTGGTGGAACCACCATCTTTAAATATCATCCTCCTCCAACCCGAATTCCGTCTGGCGCCGTCCTTGCTGTTTGGCCGGTCTTTCTTCAGTCTCGCGTTTATACCGCGACCGACCGATATGGTGAGTTTCATGGCTGTTAATAGACTAAAGGCAATTGCCAGTGGCCTAACAGCCCAATGGAAATCCTCGAGATGTTGGTATTTCTTGTCTATGCCAGGACAAGTATCGAAAGACACCGTTTCTACTTCGGCGGGGTCGGCCAGAAACTTGTTGGGTTCATTTCCGAAAACAAATATACCTGGGAACTCTACGACAAGGCACCCGTTTGGAAGTATCTCGGAGATTCTTCCGCTGGACCATGCTCCTCTCTTCCGTGGCCATTCGAACCTGGGTGAAAGTACGGTTGCCTTGAGCCTCACGAACTGACCGATGTAATGCGGTTTAGCCATTTGAAGCTGGTGGTATTTGCCTGTCCAGAGTTTCTCTAATCCTATGAATCCCGCTGCCACGGTTCCGTCACGCTGCACCGAATGCAGAATTCCCACGGGAGAATGAGTGTTGGTTTCTTGTTTCAAGCGCACCCAGTCGCCCGCTGCCAAGCCAGATGTGACCCTCTCGAGTGTCGACTCCTGAACTCGGAGAGCATTATGCATTCCGGGAACTTTCACCAGAACAAATGTATTCTTATCAGCATCGCCATCTAAACCAACAACAGTTCCTTCCCGAACATCCACGGTTTGAGGTCTGCGGGAATTCAGAGAGGTTCTTGACCGAACCGTATCGCCCACTTGAAGACGATCCTTGGAGAGATACCAAGTGGTGTAACCGCCAATAACTGATTTTTCTTTTAACAGTCGGCTTCCACTGCCAATCCATCCCCCATCGCCATGAATAGCGTTTTGTGAGCTGCAAATACAGTTTGAAACTATCATTGATCCATGCAAACACAAACACCGATAAAACTACAGCAAGACAATCGGGACGGTACGAAACAGGGAATGCATGGAAACCAGTTAACAACCACAAACACAAACAAACTATCTAATGGTCGAAGGCAACATGCATCTAATGAAACAAAGTATAAGAAGCCAAGGGTAGAAAGAAAGGCCAAAGCAACCACCTTTCGAAGGCAAGTAAAATGTCTGAAACTAACGGTCTATTTCTGAGATCATACTCGAAGCAACCGTTAATAACATTCTCAACTGCCGGAGGCAAGCCACTCGGTATCTGTGGTTTTTCTTTCTTAATCACAACCGATTGGTAGATTTCTTCAATTGATTTCTCAAACCATGGCTGAACACCAGTCAACATCTCCACTATGCTACACCCAAATCCCCAAACGTCGGTCTCCAAGGATAAAGGACCTCTAACTTCAGGGTCCCACTGTTCTGGAGCCATGTAGTTAGGGGTTCCAAGCCTAAAATAAATATCAGAGTCGGACAACGGAACCCCGAGAAGTAGATACGTGATTCCGAAATCCCCAAGAAGTAGTTGATCACGATCACTTATAAGGAAATTGGAAGGCTTCAGGTTGAGAACCAACAGCCCTATTGAGTGCAACTGCATGAGCCCTCTTGCTAACTGGATCCCATACCTGTAAATATCGGCGAGTTTCTCAAAAGATCTCCGAGGATTCAACTAAAATCACTTTACGCTTCAAAAAGAAGAAAACGTATAACAACTTATCACCTTAAGGTTTCAGACAATGAGAGCTTCCCACCTTTTGACTGAGCCATTTGATCACCCAAAGATCCTTCATAAAACCCCATAGCAATGCAAATCTGTAAAATCAAGCGAAAACAAATCAATCTTGTCATCAAATACTATCCATTTAGATCGAACTTTCAATTTCACCGACCGAAAGGAAAACCCAAGTCGAACCCTTGACTAGAAAATTAACACCTCTAAACTCTCAAGGAACTGTTTCATGAGGGTACCAAAGACATAGGACATCTATGTTGAGTTAGAACATACATATACGATATATAAGATGAAAAAGGCATTGAAAAGTACAGCACAGAGTCACCTTTTCATTTAGAACAGAGACACCATGCAACCAGCAAACACAAGGGAGCTCTCTAAACTGCAAGAATAACTCTTCAAACTTATCAATGAACTTTTGCATATGCTCCTTCTTCAATGGATGCAACATCTTAACAGCAACTTCATGATACTCTTGAAAATCGAAACCGGACTGATGATGAGTAGCCAGCCAAACATCACCGAAAGGGCCTCGACCGATCCTATGCTTAAGTTTCAGCGACGAAGGGTTAATCCATGGTGCAGCCTGAGTTGGTGTGGCCACAACTGTCCTAAGTTGGTCAGGGTCTCCTTCTAAAAGCTCATATTCAAATGAAGGGACCTGCTGGGGTGCCTTAATCTGCTGAGACATTCTCCTACAGAGATAGTATAACAAAAATTAAAAACAAAGAATAGTTTAAATATTAATCATAATTATACCAAATAACCTAATAGCATACATTTTTGGGGCTTAAACCTATTTGATGACCCAGATCAATTTCACAATAAGAAAAGCTAGCAATATATATGGATAAGATCCTGTTACACAATGTAAAAAATATAGGAACATTAGATGAGTGAATGTGAATATATTAATCGGAAGAAAAAACAAAGTCAATCACAACCATCTACTTTCAATCATCAAAGGTCCTGATAACTAAATAGTTTTGCATTGTGTAAGTAGATATATATATATATATATATATATATAACCCTTCATTTTCATTTTCATTAAGATTATGATTACTCATGCAATCACTATAATTAACAATCAATGAATCAATTTGCAGGAAAGAAAATCAACAATATCATCTTTTACTTCAATTATCTCCTTATTTCAACTAAAAAAAGAACACAAACCCAACAAATTAAGCAAAACATATGTATGCTTGTGTGTGTATAAACCCTCAAATTCCAGTTTTTAATATCCACTTGCATGAAACATATTATCGCAAAGATAATTTTTTAAAAAAAAATCATTTTTGTAAACGACCCATTGCGAAAAAATAAGTTCTTTACCTGATTTCGATCTTCCTGGAAACAAACGGTTTTCAAATGGAAAGATACAAGCAGTTTTTCCTACAGTTTCTCGGGAAACAAACAAGGGGAAACAAACCTCACCGGTCAACAGCAAGAGATGAAAGAGAAAAGGGCCTTTCAGGCTCTCCCCAAAAGCAAACTTCGAAACTACAAAAAGCTGAAAAGATCAACACAATAAACAAAGATTAGAAAAAGTGAAACCGAAGCTTTTGCAATTTGACAAATTTTGATTTTTAGTTGAAGGGAAAGACGAGGAGAGTTTTGGTTACTCCGTCACTGCTGGAAACACGGAATATTGGGTGCTGCATGCTTCATCTGCTTGCCACGTCATCTGGACCTTTGGAAGATGAGCCTCCTTGCGCCACGTGTGCCGCATTGTTCCTCCGGAGAAAGATACGTGGAGGTAACGGTAACACTTCATTTTCCAGAATTTTGTTTTTGTTTCAACTTTTTCTGGTTTAATTATCATCTTAGTTGCCCAAGTTTCTGGTATTTTTACGGGTAAAGTGAGCGTTTAGTACTTAAAGTATCAGTTTTGATTCGTTTTAATACTTAAAATTTTAATTTTTTTAAATCATATTTAACGTTTAATTTTTGTTTCATTTTAGTATCAATGTTTAAAATTTAATGTTAAGTTTTTAAAAAAATAAAAAAAATAAAATTAAAATGTACCACTAAACATTAGATATATTTTAAAAAAATTTAAAATTTAAATACTAAAACGGATAAAAACTGATAATTTAAAGAGAAAATCGGCTCAGTGACCAAAAAAAAGTTATAATATACGATTTTAACCAACTTTTTTTGGATTTGCGAAAATGACCAACAAAATCGCAACGCGAAATAAAAATCGCAACGCGATTTAGAAAATCGCAACGTTGAAAAGAAAATCGCAACGGTCAAAAGAAAATCGCAACGCGATATTCCAAGAATCGCAATGCGATTTAGAAAATCGCAACGTTGAAAAGAAAATCGCAACGGTCAAAAGAAAATCGCAACGCGATATTCCAAGAATCGCAATGCGATTAAGAGAATCGCAACGCGATCTTCCAAGAATCGCATGCGATTCAGAAAATCGCAACGCGATTCCAAGAATCGCAACGCGATTAAGAAAATAAGTAAATTCTTTCAAAAGCTATTGTATTTGTTTCTTTCTTAAGAATTTTCTCTAAAAAGATAGTATCCGCGCGGACGTGTCGAAGACACGTATTACCACGACCACGACCACGACCACGACCACGACCACGACCACGACCACGACCACGACCACGACCACGACCACGACCACGACCACGACCACGACCACGACCACGACCACGACCACGACCACGACCACGACCCCGACCCGACCCGACCCGAGACGAGACGAGACGGCGGCGGCGGCGCGCGAGAGTCCCCCTTGTTCTCTTTCACTCAACAAGGAAATGGGAAATCCAAGCCTTAAATACACTTCCCAATAGTGTTTCCAATACTATGTGGGATTGAGCATTACTCAACACTTCAAAGAAAATATAGCAATTTTTGTAGTATTTTCCCACTTAATCCATATCTAAAAATATTAAAACATTTTATCAAGAGAATTAAAAGAGTTGTAGATATCTACATTTCAATTCAAACTTATACATATAGTTTTAATATGATAAAATGTTTTAATATTTTTAAATATGGATTAAGCGGGAAACATGCTACAAAAATTGCTATATTTTCTTTGAAGTGTTGAGTAATGCTCAATCCCACATAGTATTGGAAACACTATTGGGAAGAGTATTTAAGGCTTGGATTTCCCATTTCCTTGTTGAGTGAAAGAGAACAAGGGGGACTCTCGCGCGCCGCCGCCGCCGTCTCGTCTCGTCTCGGGTCGTGGTCGTGGTCGTGGTCGTGGTCGTGGTCGTGGTCGTGGTCGTGGTCGTGGTCGTGGTCGTGGTCGTGGTCGTGGTCGTGGTCGTGGTCGTGGTCGTGGTCGTGGTCGTGGTCGTGGTCGTGGTCGTGGTCGTGGTCGTGGTCGTGGTCGTGGTAATACGTGTCTTCGACACGTCCGCGCGGATACTATCTTTTTAGAGAAAATTCTTAAGAAAGAAACAAATACAATAGCTTTTGAAAGAATTTACTCATTTTCTGAATCGCGTTGCGATTTTCTTAATCGCGTTGCGATTTTCTGAATCGCGTTGCGATTCTTGGAATCGCGTTGCGATTTTCTTAATCGCGTTGCGATTCTTGGAATCGCGTTGCGATTTTCTTAATCGCGTTGCGATTCTTGGAATCGCGTTGCGATTTTCTGAATCGCATTGCGATTCTTGGAAGATCGCGTTGCGATTCTCTTAATCGCATTGCGATTCTTGGAATATCGCGTTGCGATTTTCTTTTGACCGTTGCGATTTTCTTTTCAACGTTGCGATTTTCTAAATCGCGTTGCGATTTTTATTTCGCGTTGCGATTTTGTTGGTCATTTTCGCAAATCCAAAAAAAGTTGGTTAAAATCGTATATTATAACTTTTTTTTGGTCACTGAGGCGATTTTCTCTAATTTAAATACGTAATTTACACTTTTTCTGAAAAAGACGGATCAAGTTGGCCTAACACTTTTACTTGTTTTGTACTTGTTCTCTTAGAACACTGTAAGAAAGAAAACGTTGGTTTAAATGTGTCGAGTCTGTTCTCTATTTAGAAGAAATTTGATTTGGTCATTCGACTTTGATATATAAAATCGAATGATGATCGAATCAATCGAAAGCGTACCTAACGTTAAGTGTCGGTTTAAATATGTTAAAGATCTCTATACTATTTGATATCATAGACTCGAACTAAATCCGAATCATTTCTCCCACTCCAAGTCCGAGTACCTTGTATCACAAGCAACAATCTTCCCATATTACCATATGAACAATGTAGCTGCCAATTCTAATGATGGACATCCATTGCCACCTCCTGATGAGTACAAAAGGCAAAAAAACTCGATACAAATCACAGGGATTCTATAATTTTACATCTAAATATTAACCGTCTCGAGTATCGTTCGCCGGTTTTGGAACCTTCTCTTCCTTAATTATGTTTGAGTTCCCTCCGGCGGACGATATCTCGTCGTACGAGACGGGGGACTGTGGGGTCTTGAAGAGCTCATTGTTTTGTAGTTCAGCTAATTTGTCTTTGGACTCTCCCTTGAGCAGCTCGAGGACTTCGAGCATGTTGGGTCTTTTCTTGGGTTGATTATCGGCACAAACAAGTGCGACGAGGACAACCCTTTTCAACTCCTCTTCCACGTACTTCCCGTCCAGCTTCGGGTCTGCCATCTCACTGAACTTCCCCTCGGAAGCTGGTGGCAGTGCCCATTCCACAATCGATCGCTTTACTGTTGTACTCAGTTTCTCGAGGGGTTTCTTGCCACTTGCTAGCTCTAGTAAAAGAATGCCGAAGCTGTACACATCACAACTCTCCGAGGCTTTTCCTAGCATAGCATATTCCGGGGCAAGATAGCCGAGGGTACCCTTGACTCGAGTAGTCACATGAGTTGCACCATCGGGGATAAACTTGGCAAACCCAAAATCAGCAACCTGAGGCTGGAATTCCGAATCCAGCAACACGTTACTAGCTTTGACGTCTCTGTGAATTAAGTGTGGGGTTGAATGGTGATGCAGATACCTGAAGCAATCAATAGAAACAGGTTGAGGTTAGCGTACATGTTGGAACAAGTTAAAATACGGAAAATAAAATCCGGTCCAACACTTACGCAATTCCCTCGGCAGAGCCAATTGCAATATTCATCCTTCGGGTCCAATCAAGAAGGCATTCCGATGAATGCTGCCCATGAAGATGTGATTGCAAGCTCAAATTGGGCATGTAGTCATATACAATCAGACGTTCTTGACCTTCGGCACAGTAGCCACGTAAACTCAGCAGATTCTTATGTCGAACTCTCGCTAATATCTCAACCTCAACAGAAAATTCCACTTCGGCTTTGTTGCTCCACACCTTCAATCTCTTAACTGCTATCTGCAAGTATATACTTTCGTGGTGAGAACGAGAGTGAAATCAAAATGAAGCCATAGAAAACCTTCAAGGCCCTTCCATTAGAAAGAGAAACACATACAGAATTACGAAAGTTTCATCAAAATGACTATTTATAGATGCCATGTAGATAAAGACACTCCTACATGCATGTATGCATTTAGAGAGAGATCGATACTATTACGAAGACCTAAAATTCCATCAAGCACTGAGGTGACCATTCAACAATTGATGACACTCATCCATTTGACAATTTCAATGGTAAACAAAGAGAGTCCTCCCTATAAGCCAATGATCGATCGGTGTAGTATGTAATTCCCGACTACTATCAATGCATATCCAATCCTACAGAAGTCCAAATTGCAACGAGACTACTCCACTACAGCAGTTCTCACAAATGGTAAACTAGATTAAAACCTAAAGAAAAATTCCCAAAAGAGCATTCACTACCGAAAATTTCCAGAACAACAACAGAATCTATTAACTCAAATCCCGAAAAGGAAGATACCGATCCTACGTAAGGAAGAAAAAAACCATATACAACATTTTTTTTTGATAAGAATGACAGGCCTCCTTAAAAACCTCCTTCTTGATCAAAGAAGGAGGAAAAGAGTGCCTTAGAAACTTTATTACTCCTCCGAAATTACATAAGATTTAACGTAGACACCATACTGAAAAAACACAACAGACTAAGCTACTCAACATAACCGAAAACCTAAACTCAAACGATAAAACGCACTGGAAACGACTAAACATCAACCAATTCCCATCTTTGCTAAACTATCAGCCTCCCCATTACACACCCTTGGAATCAGTCTAATAGAGTGCACCCTGTCCGTGATAAAAGATGAAATCTCTTTAACTAATGGGAGGATAAAAACTGGGGCCATAGCTGGTGTATGGACCCATTCCACAGCCGACTTACAGTCACTTTCCACAATCAACCTTCCAACCTTAACCCAACAAGAAGACATATAGATTTCAATGCCTCTCTTAATAGCCTTTAACTCAGCAACCGGCGGGGGACCCTGACCTACATTTTCTGAAAAAGTCAGAAGGGAGTTGCTATTCCAATCTCTCAAAATACCTCCTATACCTCCATTTGAGCCATCAAGTCTAACAGCTCCATCGACATTCATCTTCAAAAAATCCATAGGGGGTGGAATCCAGCGAGAAACCTGAAAATTGTAAATGTTGAGAGCTTTAATACCATCTGCAAGAGAAAACCATATACAACATAACAATGCATAACCAACCAATCATTGAAAACTAAAAACTAAGGATGCCGAAATACAGTAAATCACTTGTTAAAAGAACCAGAAAAGGGGGGGGGGGAATACTCATACCTGTGATCCATCCCATAGCTGACCCCAATAAACACTGCCAAATCCCCCTTCTCCGATCTTGTTATCGTAATTAAAATTATTGGTAGCTGAATGCAGTTCCTTCAATGAAAATATCCTCCATGTCGGCTGCTTCTTTCCTTTCTCCTTCCTGCAAAATTATTCTTTAAACATCAAAACCATGATGAGAAACACACAAATGATCATTAAGATAAGAGTTCGAAAACAGTATTTCAACAATAGTGTGGATTGTACGATCGAGTGTGCATGATTCAGGGATTAATTATATACCTATTTGGTAGTGAATTTACAAATCCTAAAGTACTTGAGGATTGGAAAAACTTAAGTTTGTATGCATTTCATTCCTAAAATTTATATAGAAATTGAAATTCAAATCCAAATTTTCGAATCGATATCGAAAAGAACACTAATTTGACTGCCGAAGGACCCTTTTCTTACTAGACTGATATCAATAACTCCTTGTTAATTTCAGTCCTAAGTATGAAAAATTATGCCTAAATGAAAACCGAGCAGCTAAATTAAGCTTACATAAGCAATTTTCTATTTCTCTTTCCCAAATCACAGTTCCAAAAGGGGAAGAAAGTTCAAAACTTGTATCTTCTTCAACAAAAGGAAATCAAATTCTGATCAAGACCCAGATTATATTTCCAAAAGCTAAACAAATCCCAGATTTCTTAAACCCTAACGATCCCTATAAAGAATCCAAAACCAAAAGTTCACTAAAAAAAGCCCAACAAAACCAATAAAACAGCGACAATAGCCAGTAAATCAACGATGAACTTACCGATCCACGCCTTTCCCACAACAAAGCATAGAGCAAAACGCCATTAGCAACCCCAAAATAATATAAATAAAAAAATCCCACACCCTCTCTGCTTCTCTCTCAAAGAAAACCAGTACCTTTTACTTTCAAAGACTGTTTTTTTTTTCAACTGCAGCTAATCAGCAGATTCTTAAACGATGCCAAAGGGAACGCTTTTGAGCAGTGAATTGCTACAGAAGAACATGATTTTCTTTATGGGGTTTTCTTTTTAACTATTATAATTCGTGGGTTTTCTTTTGCTTGCAAGAGAATGTTGCAGAAACTTGGGTTAAAAATCGAAAACAAAAGAAGAAGAAGAAGAGGAAGAAAACAATGGTGGGTTTGTCAATGTCACTAGCTCTAGCTGTTTTGTTTTTTCAACTTTTCAAATTTGCACCCACTTGGGTCCCATTTTCCAACTATTTTCTCCTTATTTAATTTCATTATTCATTTAGTCCTATTCATCTCTCAAATATTTTAAAAATTTGTATCTATTGTTTTTAAAATTTAAATTTTGTTTTATTAAATATTTGTGTTATTTTATTTATTTATTTTTTATAAAATTCACTAATTTTATTCAAAATAATAAGTATATTAAATTATAAAGAATATTTACCATAATAATCATAAATTAAACTTCAAAATTTTAAAATTATTGAAACAAAACTAGCAATTTAAGATCACATATCATACAAGAAAATATTAAATCATAACTAAAAAAACTCGAACAAATATAGATACACACAAATTTGATTTCAATAGTAAACGAACCATAAAATAAGATCAAACTACTAAAAGACCTCCGACAAATCACAAATCAGACTCTAACGATGTAAAAAAACTATCGACAAACGTATAATGTGTATCCAAATCCAATCCGACAATCCAAAACAAGAAATGTCAACAATATAATAATAACCGTCATAAATTAAACTTCAATTTTTTAAAATCATTGAAACAACTAGCAATTTAAGATCACATAACATACAAGAAAATATTAAATCGTAACTAAAAAAACTCGAACAAATATAGATACACACAAATTTGATTCATCGGTAAACGAACCATAAAATAAGATCAAACTACTAAAAGACATCCGACAAATCACAAATCAGACTCTAACGATGTAAAAAAACTATTGACAAACGTATAATGTGTATTCAAATCCAATTCGACAATCCAAAACAAGAAATGTCAACAATATAATAATAACCGTCATAAATTAAACTTCAATTTTTTAAAATCATTGAAACAACTAGCAATATAAGATCACATATCATACAATAAAATATTAAATCATAACTAAAAAAACTCGAACAAATATAGATACACACAAATTTGATTCATCGGTAAACGAACCATAAAATAAGATCAAACTACTAAAAGACCTCCGACAAATTACAAATCAGACTCTAACTATGTAAAAAAACTATCGACAAACGTATAATGTGTATTCAAATCCAATCCGACAATCCAAAACAAGAAATGTCAACAATATAATAAGAACCGTCATAAATTAAACTTCAATTTTTTAAAATCATTGAAACAACTAGCAATTTAAGATCACATAACATACAAGAAAATATTAAATCGTAACTAAAAAAACTCGAACAAATATAGATACACACAAATTTGATTCATCGGTAAACGAACCATAAAATAAGATCAAACTACTAAAAGACCTCCGACAAATCACAAATCAGACTCTAGCGATGTAAAAAAACTATTGACAAACGTATAAAGTGTATCCAAATCCAATCTGACGATCCAAAATAATAAATGTCAACAATATAATAATAACTATCATAAATTAAACTTTAATTTTTTTAAAATCATTGAAACAAAACTAGCAATTAAAGATCACGTATCATACAAGAAAATATTAAATCATAACTAAAAAAACTCGAACAAATATAGATACACACAAATTTGATTCTATCGGTAAACGAACCATAAAATAAGATCAAACTACTAAAAGACCTCTGACAAATCACAAATCAGACTCTAGCGATGTAAAAAAACTATTGACAAACGTATAATGTGTATCCAAATCCAATCCGACAATCCAAAACAAGAAATGTCAACAATATAATAATAACCGTCATAAATTAAACTTCAATTTTTTAAAATCATTGAAACAAAACTAGCAATTTTAGATCACATATCATACAATAAAATATTAAATTATAACTAAAAAAACTCGAACAAATATAGATACACACAAATTTGATTTTATCGGTAAACGAACCATAAAATAAGATCAAACTACTAAAATACCTCTGACAAATCATAAATCAGACTCTAACGATGTAAAAAAACTATCTACAAACGTATAATGTATATCTAAATCCAATCCGACGATAAAAAACAAGAAATGTCAACAATATAATAATAATCGTCATCTTAACGAATCGTGACAGTGTTAAATCAACTTAAGATAACGATCAAACAATCAAAAAAAACATTAAAAAAAAGGAAAAATACCATAATTTTGGGTTTATAAAATTCTCAATATAAAACATCCAACGTGGTAGGAATAGTTAGGGTTGTTACAATACCTAATCAAAAGCATTGATGTAACACGAGAATATAAATAATAATAATAATAAATTAAATTAGATTTGGAAGGTTTGAAAGATGCCTTTTCGTGCTTCCCTCTTTTTCTTTGCACGTGATTGCAACTAATCTAATAACAACAAACCTATGCTAATTAATTCATTCCATCCATTTCAAAAACATTCATGAAATTTGCACCATTGCTATATACATATATATATATATATATATATATATATATATATATATATATATATATATTTACCTGATGTAAATCCTTTTAGTTTTATTTTGATATGATTATATTGGATGAGTGAAGATTAATTTTTTTTACTTAATATATTTTTTATTGTTAATCATAACAATCTATTTTTATTTATTAAATGATTTTAAATCAATGTAAAATGTATGTATTTTGTTAATATATTTTAACCCTAGTCTATTATATATATATATATATATGAGGAAGAATTCACTTCCACTGTATAAAACTAAGTTTTACACTAATTTATAGTCATTAGATTTAAATAAATAAATAGTTTATATTTAATTTTAATTTATAACTCATAAATAAATATCTTTTAACTCATAATAAAATAATATTATATTTTTTTACCCTAATTCTAAATCTCGAACCCAAACCCCAAAATTACAAATCTTAAAAACCTACATCAAACCCCAAATCATAACACCTAAACACTAAACCTTAAATGCCAAGTCATAAAATTCTAAACCCTAAACCATAAAACTTAAATCTTAAACCTAAACTCTAACCTTAAAAAGAAAAAATATTAGTTTACTACGAGTTAAAGAGATATTCATTTATGAGTTGTAAATTTTAATTAAATCTAAATCATTTATTTATTTAAATGTAATAGCTATAAATTAGTATAAAACTTATTAGTTTTATATAGTGTATGTGGATCCTAATCCTATATATATATATATCATTAATTAAAATTATCTTAATCAATTTATTTTATCATTTATCAATAGTAAGTTTCAGTTTGATTAATAATTAAGTTTTATAAACACGAACCAAATGATCTCAGTGGTAAAAGAATTATTGTTATTATTTGAGGTCCCGAGTTCGAACACCATGAATGCTAGTGGTGTGAGCGTTCAATGTCAAACGGTTTAGAATTATCTTTGACCAGATATTGTCTTGTACTTACCTCGGATTAATAATTAATTTTTAAATTTTAATTAAAAATATTAATGGAAGTTAGAATATCACTAATCACCATAATTTATGCAATTAATTTTGGATACTTTTTTTTGCTTTGGTCGGTAGACCTAACAATGATTGATGCAAGAGAATGGTGTAATAGATTATTATATATTTCAATTGATGTAAATGTCAGATAAATATAGAAATTCCATCATATTATATAATTAGATCAAAATATTATTAAAAATGAAAATACTATAAAAATTATAAAAAAATTGAAATCGACCCAACTTAATTATTAAAAGATTAAAATCATGATAAATTTGGGATCTACGATAAATGTTACAGTATATGATAAATTCGTCACGCTCATATGACGAGTTTATTTAAATAATATTTTTTATTCAAACTCTTCACGTTGACGTAAAAAATTATAAATAAGTGTAACAAATTTCATAGATTTTAAATTAATTTTTTTATCCATATGATCTATTAGGCCAATTTTACCTTAAATTGACACCATTTCCTTTTTTTTTCTTATGCTAAAAATCAGTCTTATATATTTTACTACAAACACTCTTATCTAGAGTAAGACAGAGACAATAGGTCGTTTAAATAAAGTCAGGGTTTTAAATCGATATTATGAATAAAAAATGGGATTGAGAGAGACAAATCCATAATAAATTTACATAATATCTTATTTGAATTAGTTAGTCAATAAATTAAATAAGGATAATTACAGTTACTGAGTTGAGTCATGATTAATCTGGATCGATTCGTGTCATATATTTAGTTTGAGTAGGTGAGTCTCCTAACGATGATTTTCTGCATACATAAGATCTCGAACTCGATGCCTACTCAAATGACATCAAATTATCTACTACTTGAACCAATCCGTCGATAATAAGAAATTGTTTTTTATAACAATAAATAGTAACTCAATTAGTTACTATTGATTGCCATGACTGCACAACATTGATAAAGTGCACTAACACTCAACATTGATTAAATTACAATTACTGTATTTATGGATTTACAAACAGTAAAAAGTTCTTAATTACTGCTTTGATTCATTTTAATGCATTGATGGACTATGTAGCATATATTTAATGCAAAATTTAAGGGATAAACATAATATAAGATAATGGTGGTCCAAATTAAATTTGGCTATGCTTAATATATCTCTCGAACCCCACCAAAAAGATAATATTTTGGTTCAACTCCAACTAATATAAATGATTTTTTATTAAAAAAAACTTATAATCAAGAAGGAAGTTAGAATTAAATATTTAGATTAATTAAAAATTATTAAATATTTGTATTTAGAAATATAAGAAATATATATACATTATTTAATTAATATTTTAAATAATAAAGACTTTAAATATTATTAATATAAAAAAAATTTGAGGATACAACCCTTCTCACCTGATCCGGTGCGACTGACTACGGCGTTGGCCATCACCGGCCACAGTCGATGAGTTCCGAACTTTCCATCACACTTATTCCGTCTTCTTGAAGACAAATCTGGTGCTCATTTAACCGGAAATCATCCTAAGTTTCACAAATCT